AAAATATCAACATTAATAGTTTGGAAGAAGAATTTGATTCCAATCCTCATGGAGGATTCAAGACTTCAAGGATTCAAGACTTAAGCGGATAAAGTAACTGCAGGTGTGGTGGAAACAGTAAGAGAACTAGAATCAGAAGTGGAGCCTAAAGATGTGATTATTTTGCCGCAATCTCTTGCCAAAACTTTTATGAATGAGGAGTTGCTTCTTATGGATGAGCAAAGGAAGTGGTTTACTGAGATGGGATCTGGTATTGGTGAAGATACTGAAATGACAACAAGAGATTTAAGATGTTTGTTACATAAAGTCAGCTGATAAATCAGGAGCAAGGTTTGATAGGATTTTGAAAGAAGTTCTACTATGGATAAAAATGCTATCAAACTTTATGAAATGCTACTGAGAAATCTTCCGTGAAAGGAAGAGTTAACTGATGTGGCAAATTTCATTGCTGCCTTATTTTAAGAGATTGCCACAGCCACCCCAACCTCGGCAATCACCACTCTGATTAGTCAGCAGCCATCAACATTAAGGCAAGACTCCCCACAAATAAAAGGATTATGACTCAATGAAAGTTGTGATGATCACTAGTATTTTTTTACAATAGAGTATTTATTTTTTAAGTAAGGTGTGTACATTTAGACACAATGCTATTGCACACTTAATAGACTACTGTACAGTATAATCATAACTTTTATATGCACTGGGAAACCAAAAAGTTTGTGTGACACTTTATTTTGACATTCTCTTTACTGCCGTGATCTGGAACCAAATCTACAATATTTCTGAGGTGTATATATCTTTATATGTTTTGTTATTGATTTTCCTGCATTTCCAGAGAAGAATCCCTGTATAAACTATTAGCTCTTTGTTTTTTTTGATGGATCTGATATTCTTCAACACTAATAAAATTTATGAAAACATATTTAAACATTAAAAAATTATTATTATTATTATTTTGAATGACAAATAATAGTCAAATATATTTACGGGGTACAATGTGATGCTTACACACACACATACACACACACACACACACACACACACACACACACACACACTGTGGCATGATTAAATAGAGCTAACTAACATGTCCATCACCTCACTTATCTATCATTTTTATTGTGAGACATTTGAAACATGAAAAAATGTTTTCAATGTAATAAAAATAAATAATTTGCTTAAATTCTTTTTTTTTTTTTTTTTTGAGTTGGAGTCTCACTCTGTCGCCCAGACTGGAGTGCAGCGGCCGCTCCCGGCCACCGCGGCCTTGACCTGCTGGGCGCCGGCGATCCTTCCGCCTCAACCTTCCAAGTAGCCGGAATTACAGGCATGTGCTACCACGCCCGGCTGATTTTTTGATTTATTGTAGAGATGAGATCTCGCTGCCCAGGCGGGTCTCGAACCCGCGGGCTCAGGCAATCCACTCACCTCAGCCTCCCAAAGGCGCGGGATTACAGGCTGAGCCACCAAGCCTGGCTTGCTTAAATTCTTTGATTGAGTGAAGTATGATTCAGAAACTGTGAAATCTGTCCATAACATTTTTTATAGAATAAAAGAAACAAAAGAAAATAATTTAAAAGTAAAGAAAGACAACAGAGAGAGAGAGTACATGTGTTTGGTATTCAGGTAATCAGATGAGGGCATTCAGCTGATATTCATGCCGATAATGCTGAGTCATATATTAAAACATGTTTTTAAAGCCTATTTATTATGCTACATATCAGTTACTGAGAAACTTCATTTATAAAGAAACACTTTGTAGAATTAGTAATGATATATTATTAGGTAGGTGGAAAGCAAAGACTTGAGCCCAGAAGTTGTGGCTACAAATATGAGTGTCCTTCATTCCTGGATTCAGTCAGTTTAAGATCAAACACCAAGTTGCTGTTGTCAAGGAGATAAAGCTGACAAGAAATAAGTGTGCTAACACTTTGTATTAAAAAAACTTCTATCCTCTTGGCAGTTTTAAGCATATGACAAGTACTGTCATTATCTCCATTTATAATAGGAAGCTGAGATATAGAGATGAAATAATTTGTGCCATATAGCAAGTGAGTTGAAGAGCTAGGTATATTTTGTCAGCCACTATACATACTGCTTCCTATCTATGAAGCAGAGAGGAGGAAGGAAGAAAAAAAAAAGGAGACAATAAGAAGGGTACTAGGAAAACAAGGAGAGAGAAAGAAAAAGAGCAGGGTAGGTGGGTCAGTGAGGGGAGCACAACATCAATAAGCATATCTGATCTCAAACCAAACAAAGTGGGGAACAAAGGGAGGCCCAAACTTTACCTATACGATGATCACTTCTATACCTAATCCTGTATTATACCCCACATCCTTAAAATAAAATAAAATAAAATGAAAATAAAAAGAGCAGAAGAGGTTGGAGAGGATCCTGCAACGAAGTAGGCAAGGAAAGACTATGAAATGCACGTTGTGTGGAGTGCTCTTTCCTCTGGTTATTGGCCACGGTACACCACACAATCCTTCTATTGTCCAAGGATCAGGGAAACATTTTAGCTACACCTCTCATCTTCACAAAAATATGACTATCTTATTTTTACATTTTTATATGATTCTATCCTCCACAAAACCCATGTGTGTCTGCCCAACTCTCAGGTCCATTCTGCTGCTTTTCAAATTCATCAGCAGAAATTGATTTATGCTGGGAGCTGATTTATTGCAAGGAAAATATTTGAGCTACCTACCATGAACATTAAGATTTGAACAAAAATATTTTGTGACAGTGCTCTAACTCAAAGGCATTTTAGAGTTCATGAGAAATTCTCAGGTAGGCAGGAGGACAACGGAGCTTGGGGCATACCTGACTTTATTCGTTAACTAAGTTAGCAACTTTACAGACATTTACAAAATGTCTTCATTTAGAGTGCACTGCATTTGCTCCTCCCACAATTTAATGAGGGTAGTATGTTCCCATTTTACAGGTAAAGAAACTAACTCAGAGGTATTGAAGAGACAGGGCTAGTAGGTAGAAAGCCCAGAAGTTGTGCCTACTTCAATACGAGTGTCCTACTTCATTTCTTTCCAGGCATGGAGGTAACTTGAAGCCCAAGATTCAGTCAGTTTAAGATTAAACAGCAAGTTGCTGTTGCCAAGGCGATAAAGCTGACAAGAAATAAGTGTGCAAAAATCTATCACTATAAAGTAGTGGTGATAAATTTATTTACTTTTTTTTTTTTTTTTTGAGTTGGAGTGTCACTCTGTCGCTCAGGTTAGAGTGCATTGGCATGCTCATGGCCACCACAGTCTCGACTTCCTGGGTTCAAGTGATCCTCCTACTCCAGTCTTCCAAGTGGCTGGGACTACAGGCATGTGCCATCACACCCAGCTAATTTTTTGATTTATTGAAGCGATGAGGTCTTGCCAAATTGCCCAGGCTGGTCTCAAATCCATAGGCTCAGGCAATCCTTTCACTTTGGCCTCCCAAAGTGCTGGGATTATGGTTGTCAGCTACCATGCCTGGTCTAATTTATTTACTTTTTAAACTAAAACCAAAACTAAAAAAATTATTTTCAGAATCAAATAAAGTTTTTTATCAGCTCCTTCTAGGCTTGCTGACAAACACTGAAGGTGATGAAATCTGTCTGCAGCACACTAAAGCCAAACTATGATAGTTAAACATCTATTTATACACCATTAGCAATAACACAGTATCAGAAATTTAGGGAATTAGTTTATGTTGACAATCTTAGTAGAAAAATATTTGAGAGTATTCTGAAGTAACCTTTCAGTCTTTTACCTATTTGAAGTATATGTTCAAGTATGTGTTGAAACATAGAAATGTAGAAATCCTTCCCATTGTATGTTTTGAGGCCTGCACAGGATACTTTTTTCATTCAAAATGAGTGATAAAGACCTAAATCAGCATTTGGTCCCCACAGGATTGTCAATTTCATGATTCTCCAAGATTTATTATTTTACTCTTAATCTCTACCAAGCATGTTGGGCAAACATAATATTTATTGGAAGGGCTGGCTGGGTCCATGGAGAAGACAATAACCACTATGGGGGGTGTTCCATATCCCTGTTCTCAAAGTGTCCCCTAAGATCTTGTTAAAAATAAATATGCCTACCTTAGGCATATTGAATCAAAAACGCAGCAATATTTCCTTTGACCAGTTCTCCATGGGATCTTTCTGCAGGCTGAAGTTCGAGAAATTCTAATTCTAAGTTGATCACTAGAGTGTATCAACTTCAAATTTAAAAGATATTACAGGTTAAGTATTCTTTAGCCAAAATGCTTGGGATCAGGTGTTTCAGGTTCCAGATTTTTCAGATTTTGTAATATTTGCATTTATATAAAGAGATATCTTGGGGATAGGACCCAAGTCTAAACATGAAATTCATTTATGCTTCATATCTATATCACACGATAGCCTGAAGGTAATCTTATATAATATTGTTAAAATTTTGTGCATGAGGCAAAGTTTTGACTGTGCTTGACTGCAACCTGGCACAGAAGATCAGATGTGGAATGTTTCACTTGTGGCATCATGTTGATACTCAAAAAGTTTTGAATTTTGAAAGCATTGAGAATTTAGATTTTTTGATTATGAGTACTCAATCTGTACTTTTAATTATAACAATACTGGCTGCTACAGCTTGATTTTTTTGTGCCCCTCTCCCCCCCAATAAATATGTTGAAATCCTGTCTACCAATGTTATGAAAGTGAGGCTTTTTGTAGGGTGGAGGCCTCATTAATGGGATTATTTCTCTTATATCAGAAACTCTGGGCGCTCCCTTGCTCCTTACATCATGTGAGGACACAAAGAAAAGATAACTGTCTACAAACTAAAAACTAAAAAGCAACAGATGCCAAAACTGCTGGTGCCTTGGTCTTGGATTTCTCAGCCTCCAGAACTGTAGGAAATACGTTTTTGTTAGTTAAGCCACCTGGTCTATGATAGTTTGTCACAGTACACCAAACAGACTAAGACACTAGTATATTATACCATTTGCTTGAAAATATAATTGCTTACCACATGCCCACATGTCCACTGGCTTTCCATAGGGATCTTTACGTAAAACTTCTGGAGAAAGATATCCAGGTGTGCCAGCAAAACCTAGGGAAAACAAATGTTAATGAATCAGAATTTACTTGATAAAATAATATGAAATAGAAAACTAAGTAGGAAAATGTTTTGAGGGTTTGTTTATTTGATGATATGTTTTTCAAAATAAAATGAGGTTCTCAGAGTACTAAGATAATGTAGATGTTCTCTGTATAGCAATATCAACACATTAGTCTGTACTAGCCTGGGTAGCTTATTTGAAAAAAATAGATATTTTTTTCCAGCTATGGAGGCCAATCTATGTGCTCAACAGTCACTGTGTTTACTTAAAACCACTTTTAATGAGCAATTCTTAGTGTCACTTACATATATGGGAGTTACAACAAAACTTGAAAATAAATGAGGAGAAGAACTCACCAAGGGAAGAAGTACAAAATATGTCAAAGAGCTCACTCTGTACTAATAAATAATCAGTGTTCACTTGTAACTGGTAACTAAAGAGAAGACTCAGGAACATTCAGATAAATCCCTATTGAACAAGTATCAATTAGACACTCAAGAAGGAGGATGTGATAAGAGAAACTAGATGACAAAGAAAAGCTTCATACTTTATAAACGAGTGCAGAATTCAATAAGTTATACTTAATCAATTCATAGCTAGACTCTAGAGTAAAATATTTCTTATTTCTGCAAATAATAGTGCTTAAATAAAAGCATTTATTTGAAAAATACTGGAAATAACTATTCTTATTTGGAAGTTTTCTTTAAAAGTACAAATAAACTTAAAAAAAATTCTTTAAAAGAATATGTAATCAGAAATTCCTCCAACCACAGATCACGTTGTACATTTACTGGGATGCGAAGTGCCCAAGAAAGGAATTTTTTTCCTGCATTTCTGTAACAATCTTTTACTTATTAAGCACTAATGGTATGCAAGGAGTATAAAAAGTAGTATATGTAATGGCATAGTTACTTTTCTCAATAAAATCAGATTTAAAAAAGAGGCAAAATATTTTGAGCTCCTCCCCCCCATTTTCATTACCTTTCTTTTCCCTTGAATCTTTTGGAAGAAGTTGGGTGGACAATGAGAAGGGACTTCAAGAAAAGACCTGTGTGTTGTAGTTTAAGCTTCACATGGGTCCACCTTTACCTTAACTTTACTCGAAAGACATGTTTAATTGGCAGTTGTGAGGTGAAAAGAATTACTGAGCAACGATGGTGGCTGCACTGCCTATAGTTTGAGGATTACTTGAATGAGGGATGTGGAGTCTGTAAATTCCAAGGCAGGAAAGAGCACAATTGGTTTAAAGAGCTCTCCAGTGTTTCTAATAGGCCATTCCTGCCCCCTCCATTCCCACCACCCTTTTACAGCTCCTCTCAACCTGAGGCCCAGGCAAAGAGATTCCAATGAGAAACTGATGCCAAAGTCCAAATTCAATCCAATATCCTTAGCATGCCCTTTCAAATCCTATATCACCTGCTTTCCCCTCATTCATCAACCATAGTAACGTTCTCCTTCTGAGTTCTTGACCTGACTAATCTCTTTAAGGTCTCATGAAAATGGACTTCTCATTCTCATCCTTGGTGCTATTTTTTTCTGTTCCATGAGTCTTCAAGTTTTTCTTCTACTTTTTGTCTAATAGAGGCTGCCTCTAAATTATTTTCACTTTAGAGCTCTCCTTAACTGCCTACAGTCCTCAGTGATCCTTTCTCAATGAATTTCAACTACTCTTTTATATATAATCTATACACTCCTTTTAAAATAGTAAACTTCAATAATGTATGACTTAAATGATTTATAATATATGGCCAAGAGTAGGAAATGTAACAATATTTCTCCTAAGGAAGATAGCGCAGTGAGTTACCATGCAAATAAGAAATGAAAAGATCATTTTAAATGTAAATTATTACAAATCTCTTCTGGAGACTAAAATGCTAAGAGTACATTATCATGTTCCTTCTTATTTAGTTACAACCATCATTTGAACAGTAGTGAGGTCCTTACCCCAAGAATATTGAAGCACATATCTAAATGCATGGACATTAGGAAACAATGTGATCTCATAAATACAGAAATAATGATGGGTAAAATAGATAAGGCCTACAGTGGGAGATTAAACTTGTAAAAATCTAGGATTATCATGATGCATGCCAGCAACAGGGAAATCAATGAGAACTTGTCTTTGTTAGGGATAGCATATGTTTCTTACTGAAAAATCAGTAGAAATATCAAAACAGATAAAACAAAAAGAGAAAACATAATTACTTACTGTTTGGAAATGTATCCACTGTGACATATTATCATTAAGAGAAGCTTATTATATTTAAAAAAGAGACATAATAGAAACCAAGCAAAATAATTCTTCCATGAAGCAAATGTTGATAGTTATTTTATTCCCCCAGCAGCAATAAAATGCTAAAAATGTACTGCAAAGAACATTTGCAGTTCCATAGGGGAAAACAGGCTATATTTGAATATTTATCTTTGTTAAATTTTCTAGCCATGTTACCAAGTGTAGTGACAGGGTATTTATTTCTAGCAGTTTTAGATGGTATTCAAATACACCAGGATGAGGAAATGAGAATTGAATATAGGAAAAAACAAACTTATTTAGACTTTAAAATGATAATTTTTTAAAAAACGAAAACACAATGAATAGCTTCCATAATGTCTTGTATTATATAGTGTGCTGTTTGTATATATCCATATCATATATTTTTCTTTTTTGAGGATCTCATATATTTATTAAAATAAAATCATACAAATGCCTGAAGCTGTGGCATTACACATAACGAAGACAGAGTCCTTCCATTTTTTAAAAAAATTAAAATAACATGGTTTTTCCTCCCTAAACACTGATACTACATTTTAAAAATAAAATTAGTCTAATATATGAGACTATAATGGCAGATAATAATGAATGAATATCAAAACAAATCATTCATATTAAAACATGACTTTACTCCCAACACCTAAAATATATCTGGCAATACATCCAAAGAAATGTAATACACCACACATGCCTTCTTCTCCCTCAGATTACTATGAGGATTTATTCAAACTTCAAAAAAAAAAAAAAGAGAAAAGAACTGTATTCTCTTAAGTTTAGAAACTATTTTCTGACACTTCTGAAATACTGAATTTCCTTGGAAATTGAAATGAACTTTCTTTTAAGTTGTTAATCTAACAGGCACCTTAACAAAAACTTAGCTGCTGATAGCACTATATTGCTGAAGAAGTGGAATTTTACTGTCTATCATTGTTTTTTTAAGGACCAGCTTGCTTTTAAAAATGAATGGTTGGGCAACCCCCTCGAGTACCCTCCATTGTGGGAGCTTTCCTGTCCTCTCAATAAATCCTGCTAGCTACAAAAAAAGAATGGTTACAATTTGAAAATCTGTATACTTTTATTTGGATGCTATTGTTTTCACTAGCCTGATATTCAGTCTTTCACTCACTGATTCACTAAACAACTTTCACTGAATAGGTAAAGATCTGTAACATTTTGTTTCATATCAAGATGGTTTGGAAAACATATTGGACATCTTTTATAGCTCAATCTTGTTTTTATGGACTACTTGCCTTAGTCTCTTAAGAGCCCTGTGAAGGAGTGATCATCCCACTCACAAAAAGGATAGTGACCTCACAGAGTTAAAGTGACTTGCTCAATGCTATTAAGAATCAGAGACAAGAATTTATATTTGTATTTTTATATTTATAAAATTTATAATAATTTATAAAATTCAGGTATTCAAATTCAAAAAGTAGAATTTTTTTTTTTTTTTTGCGACACACAGTCCTGCCCTCAAACTACATGTGACCTAGCAGAGGAAAAGCATAGAACTCAGAAACAGAAGAGATTTAAGGAGCTTGATTCCAACACCAAGAAAAGTTGCTGATGTTAATTCTGAGTCTCCACCCTGCTTAATCCTGATACCCAATCATCATCTTGTATGCAGTCCTGACAATGAAATCCCTGGGCCTCCATCTGATTTTGGTAACTTGTCCCACACCACAAGTCTTTCACAAAGTAGCGTCCTGCTTTGCACTGGAAAGGCCTGGAGTCCTGATTTTGAAACCAATGTCTGAGATTTTCATTTATTCTAAACAGATTCCCTTAGAGTGCAGAGTTCCTGTCTACTCTTTGTTTTATCTGGAACTTGCTCACTCCTATATACTCCCTAGTTAAAGCTACTATCATGCATAATTTGAATGACTGCATGGTCCTACCTGGGTCCTTGCTTGCAGGTTAACTATCTTTAAATCATCTTCCACATTGCTACTGAAAGCATTATTACATAACATATTCCCAGCTATGGCCCTCTCCACCAAAAATTTTTCACCAGATCCTTGAAACCTCTAAAGTAAATGCCAAACCCTTCAAAAAATAAAATAAAATAAAATAAAATCCTTTCCCACTTCATTAACTGCCACTTATCCCAGTATAATTTATACTTTGGCTATATTGAACTTTCTGTTATTCCTAAAATAGAGAAAATGATTTCAGGCCTCTGAGCCTTTGGTTGTGTTGATCCCTCTGTCTGGAATAACTTAGTCTCCTTGCATGCCAGTAGAGAAACTCCCAGTCACCCCCTCGGCAACTATAGGTGTTAAGGTAATTATTAAAGTTTTTCCCAGAGGCAGATTTGTGTACTTCTGGTCTTGTGCTCCCAGAGCACCTCATGTATGTCTTCTACGCTGAATGGTGAATAGTTAATCTATATGGAACCCTCGGCTCCTTGAGGGTCAGGGACCTATTTAATTTATGTATCTCCAGTAATTTGCTGTTCTCAGCTCTGTAGTAGCCCCAGTACTTCCTGCTGTATCTCTAACTCATGTTACTATATATATATATTTTTTTTTTTCCAGGACCAAGAGAGTTATTAAAGTGGCTGTTACAGAGGGGATCTGTAATGGGAAAAAAGAAAAAGAGAGAGAAAGAGAGAGAGAGGAAGTGGGAGAGAGGTGGGGAGACAGCTGCAGAGAGGGAGAGAGCGACAGAGAGAGAGAGAAAGAGAGACAGAGGTTACTATATATTTTGATCTGTGTCAACTATATTCTATCCCAGGACACAGAAATACATCTGAATCTCCAACGTATACAACTAATTCTAGGTGCTATCTTCTTTCACATTGGAGTTAACTGGAACAAGCTTATTCAAATGTTAAAATCTCCAAATGACAAGTATGGAGGTATTAAATTTATCTGAGGTGGGGGTGGGTAAGAAGACAACGTAAAAGGTAACATTAAACGTGGCAGGGGTCGTAAACAAGTATATTGGTGAGGCACTACTGGAACAGGACAGGCAGCAGAGACTTAGGCCCTGAATTTGGCTGCCAGGAAGCTGGTCACACCATTCACTATCATGTTGGGGCAGATTGGAGAGATGTGGCGACTCCCACACTATGCGTACATCTTAAAAGATGTGTGTGTTACGGATGCAGAGAAGCATTTGCACATAAAACAAAAGAAATACTCATGTCTTGAGTCCTCTGTTCTTGCTATGCAGAGGAAAAGAAATCAGAAATGAAGGGCATTTGAACAAATTATCTAACCATAACATACTGAAAGTCAGAAGAGAAGTAAGACAGTCTTGGGAAACGATTATATTTTAGAACTCTATGTGAGAAATGGGCTAATACTAGGAAATGGCAGAGAGGCATAAGAATATTAATGAGTAAAATATTTATTTGGGCAAAATATCGAAGCAATACAAAAGCCTGGTTAGAAATATTATAAATTTGGTTTTTTAAAAATAGAGATGGGGCTTCACTCTATCACTCAGGCTGGAGTGCAGTGGTGTAATCATTGGTCACTGCAGCCTCTAACTGTTGAGCTCAAGTGATCCTCCCATCTTAGCCTTCAGAGTAGCTGGGACTACAGGCACACACCAGTGTACCCAGTTTGTAATATAAATTTATTTAGAGTTAATTTCTTCCTTAATTGTCAGGAAACAGAAATTTTATAATTATCCGAATTTTAGATAGAAAACTGACATAAAGAAACAGAAGATAATGAAGATGAAATATACACATAAATATGTGCTTTATAATAATTTTAAAAATCTTTAATTCATTAATCACAAAATGCTGTATGTGAAATATTTGTATTTCCTGAGTATCTACTATTTACATAGCAGTTTTCGGCATCATGTGAGGTTGCATGTAGACAATCAACTTTCTCTCAAATGAAAAAATTACTCTTTTAAATATTGTAATCCTCCAATTAATTCTTAGCATAGAATCCATTTTCTCACCATTTTTTAAAGAAAAAAGTACCTGTATTCCTGAGTTAATATTTTCCCTTTAATTATTTATAGATTATATATGCTTTAATGTCAGTGAAATTGTTTTTAAAGACAAATCTTAAAACTGATCAAATTGTTATTAGTAAACTTTTCCATTTTATTTTGGCTAGGAAGTGGGGGCCTGGAAGTCAGAAGTAAGAAGCCAGAAGATTACAGGTAGCCTAAAGTATAGAGAGGCCCTACTCACCAAACCACGCCTGCTGGTCGCCTTGAACTTCTATGGCTAAGCCAAAGTCTGCCAGTTTCACAGCTGCTCCCTTGGATTTGCTAGCTAAAAGCAAATTCTCAGGCTTTATTTAGAAAGAAAAAAAAAAGAGAGAGAGAGATTGAAGTGAGAACCTATTTTAAATGACTATTCAAAACTAACAACATTTCACAGGATTAGGGAAAAAAAAAAAATCATGCACTGTTGTCTTTCCTGGAGACTGCCATTCCTAAATCTCAGGGAAAATATAGTTAGAAAATGATTTAAATTTATCATGTGTGCAGGCTTCAGACAGATGCATACATTTGCTGGAGAGATAGTGGGTATAAGAGAGAATATACTTGGGGAGAGACTGAATGAATGAGAGCACCTGTCTTGACCTGCTCACATGTTTCCATGGACAGCTCAAGATTCAGATTTGGCCATGGACATTGACTTAGAAGCCTAACAGAGCACAGACATTTCCAGCAGAAGGAAACTTGGCAAAATGATAACAAGAGTTGGACCAATCTACAGACATTTGGCAAACGAAACTGTGCAAATTAAATCCTAGTTAACTTCAAGAGTTTGGACCCAAATGTAGTGATTTTGATTCCTCAATGTTTCCAAACAATTTCTGTGCAAATTTTGGAGACTTACTCTGAATTATGTATTAAAATTGCTGTCTTTAAGAATCTGTTTATTCTTAAAGGCAGAAAGAGTATACTACTATTTGCCAAATGTTATAGTTAGCATTTTTTTCTTTATAAGGCTGCTTTTTAAACATAATTTAAATTTCTTCAAAGTGTGATTCAGAGCATTACTTATATATTTATTCTCTCATCTCAGAATATCACAAGAAAGATCTATTTTTATTTTCTTGAGAATCTATCATTACTCAAGGACTTAGTCTTGGAATAAGGCTGTGTCTATACCACTGTTTCCCAACCAGTGTATCAAGACACACCAGTACTTTGAAAATAAGCACCAGGGCAAACTCTTCCATTTCCCTGGACCCCCACTGTGGATTTTAAGAAATGAAGGGAAAAAAATAATCAGAAAAAGGAGGCTGGGTTAGTAAATATACATGAGAAAGTGGCTCAATGTCTTTCTACTTTGAGATAAGAACCAGAAAACTTAGAGGTATGTCAATGACTGAAAAGAGTTGGGAAACAATGGACTCTACAAGTGCCAAAACAAATGTCTGAAAATCTAAAAATTCAATCAAATTGATTTTGTTTACATGTTGGCAAACAAGTGATTTCATATTTTTGAAATCAAATAGACTACTTTTTTTGTACTGAGTTTGTCAATTCTGATGGTTGTTTTGGCCTTGTGTAAACACAGTCTAAACCAGTATTTAATTTATTAATTAAGCCAGCCATGCAAATTAGCAAAGACCCATAACGAGAATTTGAAAGAAATTAGGTTACATCTATAAGAAATCAGAGTTTGGGCAAGTAAGTTTTAATCAAGTACCAGCTTCTTCAGGCTTTTGCTGCTCACTGCCATCAGATTCGTCACTACTGTGACAATTGGTGAATGTGAGAAGACCTTTGTCATGTTTTAGGACTGACGGGGTTTTTGATCTAGCTCAACACTAAATACACAATTTAATTTGGAGTATGGGATGAAGATGTCTCAAGAATATGAAAGATCTTCGTGCTGAATAACTTTTAGTAAAACCTGACATCTGAAATTATTTGGAACTTGGGTCATCTACCAATATACTATACTATTGAATTAGCTTATTCACATTTGCCTTCTTTTTTTACAACCAAAATTGATAGACTACCACATTCCCACATTTTCTAATGTGATCAAGAAGTAATTTCCAACCACTAATTTATGAAATAAATAACTTGGAAAAAAAACACACCAAACTGTAAGCAAGAGTTGGCTCTATTTCTTTGTGCCCTTCACTTTCAAAAGCATTGACATGTCAGATATTTCTGCTAAAACACATTTGTCCTAATTTGTCAACCACAGACTCACTCAAAAAAAGAGTTCCAATCACTTTAGAAATCACAGCCATTTTAGGTCTTTTAAGTCAAGTGATATTGAAGTTTGTTGAGCAACTGCCGATGTCATGAGGAATAAACTTTTAAAAAATTGTATGTGTTTTCTATTCTTATTACTAAATCAAAAAGTTCCTGGGCAGTGCTGTATACATTATGCCCTCAAACACCATGTATCTGCCAATTCAGAAGAAATGAAGCATCTTAGAATTTTATCATGCACAGCCTCTGAATGACTGGGGCAAATATTCCTAACTAGAGATGAGCTAGAAGACCTCACGGTAGAGCCTTGGGAGTCATCCAGAAAAATAATAAATCCATCTGGTTCGGTATTTCACCTCATACCCATAGACTGTTCAGCTGCAGTTATGTATAGGAAAAGGCAGGGCTATTGAATGATGATTTCAAAATTAATAGCACTGAAACGATCACGTTTATGTAAACCTTTAGGTAAACCCATAATACAGAGTTATGGGAGGAAAACTGAAAACTAAGGATGATTATTGACTTTATTAAAGGATTATTTGTTTTTTAATGTTTCATCACGATTGTCTTAAAGATAAGTTCCAATAAAACATTAAAAATCATACAAGTTCAATTTCTATGTAACTTTTTGGAATACACCAGTTTGAATAATCCTGTTATGTTCTGCAAAAGCGTGGGAGGCTTTATCACCAAGACTTTCTAAAGTACCATTTAAATCAGGTGAGGCACATTTATTCTGATTTTCTTGAATCACTTCCACTCCAACTTAAAAACATAGTGGACTGCAAAACTTAATTGGCAAGAGATTTCTGTTTAAAAGTTTAAATTTAAAAGTTTAAATTCTGAATGACCACAGAAAGGAAAATAATTTGTGGGTATATCCCACAAAAGATGAAAGGGTAGAATTTATCTCCTCATCAATGATGACCTTCTCAGAAAGAATCACTCCTATACACATATTTGCTATTCCCCTGTTTTTATTTTCTAAGGCGAATGAGACAGGTGAAGTCAGAAACACAATGCAGGTACAGCTAACCATGAGGCACAGCATGTGAGAGAAAGAGGCAGCATGTAGACCTGAGAAGAATGGGAAGATCTAGGTTCATGTCCAGGCTCCTCATACTGGATCTTATTAATTCCTTCATCTCTCAAAGGAAGATTATAAGGCCACTAAATTATATCTCGTAGGAGTATCTTTGAAATGACAAAATCTCCTGGGATTTTATCATAGGAGCGCCCTCCTCTGTAGCGACAATATCATAGGAGCTCCTTCCTCTGTAGCGACAATATCCACATTAGTGATTAGCTGCTCAATTCCTTTGCAGTTGGCCATTTCAACGTGCAGAACACTTAATATTTATAAGAAATGTTCATAATCTGAGATTAATAATGCCAACTTAAATGCAATCTATTATGTTAGTTTTTATATGTTGAGATGATCTCTAAATTCTCACAATGCAATCACTTTTTAAGATGGTTTTTAAATAGAGTCTACTGACATTCTTACACATAGGTTCATTCCCCACACCCATTTCTTCCTAATGATGCAGGATTTTCCATGACATCTGGTCTCAGTGTCAACAACCATTTATAGCATATCAGCTGTAATGAGCAGCAACTGTTTGCAAGTTTTGTTCTGTGATTCCATATGAATACAATGGCAACTTCTTTCAATTTGAGTCAAGATTTATTGAAACCGTTCACAAGCCTCAAAGTACACAGGCAAGTTGTTGGAATCATTTTTACAACTGGAAGACCTGGAAGATAAAATAACTCAAACTCTTCAGTTTCTAAAAGAAATAGGGAGGTCCAAAAACATGAAGCCAGGACTTGAAGCCAGATTTCCTAATTCCTTCCTTTAAAGATGTGATATTGAAAAGACACCTCTGAATGTATAAAAATGAATCATTTTCAAAAGGTAGTTTATTTAGATATCTTTAGAAGTAGATATCTTTAGAAGAATTTGAAGTACTCAAAAATATTATCTCCAAAACTTATAACATAGATATAGTTTTAATTTTGCTTCCCCAATTATGATGATCTTTATTAAGGAACTGGGAGATTCAGTAAAGGCAATGATCATCTTTAACATCAGTCATATCACGGGTTTATCTATGTGTGACTGTCATCTAAAAGATACAACCGTTAGAAATCATGTGTTTTACTTCTTTTATATTTTGAATATTATAAAAATATCAAATTATTGTGTTATTCGATGTTATTTGATTCTTACATTCTCTTGGATATTATTTCTTTAAAGTAAAAACTGTCTTTTAAAATTTCTTTCCTCTATTGGAGAATCTCATGATCTTAACAGAAAGTTAACCATTCTGTGCTTTGGTGTGTTTTCAGTCACTTTTCCTTTGCCAAAAAAGGTGTGAACAAAGCTCCTAGAAATAAACTAAATTTGTTTGTTTGTTTTAGTTTTGCATGAATTGAAAGCTTGAAGTTTTGCTTAAATTAAAAAGCTTGAATGTGGAGCTTAGGTATTTCAGTCGTGTACATATACAAATAATTTTAGTACATGAATGCCTGAATTCGTATACTTTGCACAAGGAGTTTCCAGCTGACACATGTGCTATAAATTTTCAATTAAAAAATACTATTTCTATTGCCATGTATATATGAGCAAGTTCATAAGAGTCGCTCTGTTTCATTTCTATTTCTTGATCTACTTCTACATTATCAGCACATGCTGCTGGGGAGACTGAAAGAGCCAGTGTAACCCCAGTGGGACCATGTCAATTACCTGTTGTTTCTCCACTGCCTGACACATGCTAGGCACCAGTAAAGAAACACCAGAATGACTAAACGAATAACTGAATATTTGGATAAGTTTGTTTCTAAAATATCTAGACATACATTATACACAGAGGATATGTTCCCTAAACTTTTATCTAAACATGACTCTAAGAAAAAAATACCTATGATTTTATAATTACTCAAAATGTAAAATTCACATTTTGAGTAATTATAAAATTACAAAATTTTTATTTATAAATTCACAAAATTCACATTTTGTAAAATGTAAAAGCGATATATTTATTACTCATGACCAACACAGATTTACAGAATGTTTCTCATTTCCCACCTCTCCCAGAAAACTAATTCCTTTCTTCTCTGGTCATAAGTTGGATTTATTTCCATAAAATTGTCTTTAAAATCCCTCCAATCTGCAAAATTATTCTTTTATTAAAATATCTATCTACCCCAAACTGATTGTCTTGACATGGCCTAAATTAAATATGGTAAATGCATTTCATTCCTCTCTCTGTCACATTTTCCAAAGGCTGTGCCCAATGCCATTTTACTGATTTTCTGAATAGAAAATTTTTACTTTACACACTGGTCTGTTGTCAAATTATGTTGCCCCCTACTCTATATTATATCTTTAAAATATTTTATTGCTTTTACCTATTCTTTGGTTTTCAATTCATTCAAGCATCTACACTTGGAATGAAATTGCTTGGTCACAAATAATATCTTACTAGCCATGAATATGTTCTTTCACTTGTGGTTGCTACATTTTCCTTTATGTAACATAGGGAATATCATGGTTGATGTGTATTCCATATGATTGATAACACACTGCAAGGTACATGGAAACTGCCTGATAAATGGCATCTCTTAACATTTTTACTATTAAGGTTCTGCCTTGATCCAAACCCTCCCAAAGACCACAGTCCTATCCCTGAACTATAGCACTGTAACCATATCACCACTGCTAGGTCTCCCTAATATCACTTAGATTTATTAATTAACATCACTGGATGTACCCTAGACAACAGGTTGTGGTCCATGTGTCCACTGGATACTTCCTGAAGCTGACTGACATACCTCCTTTCTGCTGATATTCCACCACCCTGAACTTTTCCTACTGTTCGTTTCTAGGACATCCTCAAGTTGCCTGTTGTGCCTCAGCCTTGTTTATAGGTTGGTCCTCATAATTTTCCATCTGGTAGATTCCACTGTCTAATGAGCCCCAATGAGTGGCAGTTATGCAAATATTCAAACAGTGACCATTATTCTAAAGATATACTTAACCTCTTTTGTTATTCAAATACTAATGAATATACTTAATGATATATTTTATTGAATATTGTCTTTTATATTATAAATGTGCTTTTGGTTGAACTTCATTTCTAAATTGAAGGAATGTGCTTCAAGTATTTGCTAGGTATAAGGTCCTATGCCAGGTACTGTGGTGTAACACACTTTGTTAAACAGCTGCTGTTCTGAGAGGGCTTATATACAAATCGCACAACACCTACATGCTCATAATTGTATATGATAAACATAACGTTTTGATGATGACAAAGGTAACATTTCCTGGTTGTTATTATTATATTTTGAGTTGGACTCACTCTGTCACCTAGGCTGGAGTGCAGTAGCACGCTCATAGCCACCCTGGTGTTGACCTACTAGGCTCTGGTGACCTTCCGCCTCAGCCTTCCAAGTAGCCAGAACTATAGGCACGCGCTAACATGCTCGGGTAATTCTTTGATTTACTGTAGAGCCGAGGTCTCACTATGTTGCCTAGGCTGTTCTTGAACCCACGGGCTCAGGCAATCTTCTCGCCTTGGCCCCTCAAAGTGCTCGAATTACAGGCATGAATCACTGTGCCTGGCCTGTTTTTGTCCCCCCTCTCACTGATGTGGACCCATTAAACTATGTGCTTTTGTATATGAATTAACATATGAATTGAGATATGGAAACAAATACATGGTATAGAAATAATAAGGACAACTTTTTGTTTAAAGCCTGGTAATAAGAAATTTCAGCAGTTGATCTCCTTTTCCATTGTACTATATTGGTAAATAAGCTTTTATAAGCAATACATTTATCAGATACACTGTGAGTATAAAAGGCACAAAATAAGGCCAGGGATTCAGCACACGCATGCTGTGCGTAAATCGCCTCTAATGCACAGTTTGGACTATGTTAGCATGTTTATGAAATGGTCTACTAAAGCAAGCACTGGGAGCCAAACTCAACTGAAGTCTATCCAAGTCAGAAATCTGACATAAACTAGGACAATTATAAAAATTATAACAGGCTCTCTCAAAAATTCATTTCTGTCCTTTTCCAAAATCAGAATAAGAATGGAGAGCCAAAATGTCTTTCCCCCTTGAAAGAAATCTGATGAGTAACACAGCAGGCTTCTTTTGGTAGTAAGCCTCCCTAAAAATCACCTGCATGAGTTTTTAATTAGTGACTTTAGCTCATATGTCAGAAAACATATATTTTTCTCCACAGCCCATGTTCTAGGCTCTCTGCCATCTTTGATTAAAGTTCAGTCCTTGAAAAGCTCAGCTGAGTTCTGACACTTATAGAATTCCCATATTATGATTCCACAAAATATAACTTAAATTTCATGGAGAATTCACATTTTTCATGCTTGGCTTTTAGAGTAAACTTATTGTTATGTAACAGAGAACAAGATGTTTCAAATAATCAATTTACTAAATAAAGCAACTGACAAAATAGCACAAATAAGTGCATGTCCACATATGTTCACTTAAAAGAAAAGTAGTACTGTGTATTCTGAGAGGTATCAAAAGGGGCCTCTGTATATGGCTAGTAAGGAATTTTTAGGTGATTGCAAAAGACGTGAATTTTGAAAGAAACATCGTGTTTTTCCTTTATCCTAATGAGTAAATGTTGTAAGCACTAGAAGATAGACACAATCCTATTTTGGTTCTTCAAAAGAAAATGCCCTTAACCATGTCTTTGCTTTTGATATATAAAGCTCTCATAATTAACTGAAATCAAAAAGAGATTCCAGAAAACTAAAGCAATGTTTTGCTTACAAATCACATCTCTAGATAATGGGTTTAGAGACATACTCTTCTAGAACACTGACTGAAAACTGTGGCTTTACAATTTAGCATAACTAGAGAATTTTGCATGTGAGAAACAGTCTAGGTCCTCCCACTGATACACACAATTTTAGACTTCTATATTAACCTTTGCCACCTTTGTCCTAATGCTGAAAAATACTGAGGTTGCAAACAAAGAATTGCTCACATTTGCTATTTCACTTATCTAGTAGTTTTCTTTCATTTAAATTTCTAGGCCTCATTATTTCTCTGAAATTCCACAAATAAAAGTAGAATGCTGAGATAATAGGACAGAAAATTTATGAAAAAGTACTCTTTGTGAACTATCTCATGTCTGAATGATCTAAAAATTATATGCTAACACTTAGTTGGCTAAATACTCAACCTTCCTCCTTACCTTCCTCCACTACAGAGACCGGAAGAGCTAGGTGTTTGCTTTCTCAGCCTGCTGGCATCTACAGTTAGGCATATGACATGGCTCTGGCCGATGCAACCTAAAAGTCTACTGGTAGACTTCTGGAAAAGCATTTGTTTTCTTTATTAAAAAAAAACAACCAAAAACAACAGCAGATATATCTAGCACAACCTCATTATCCTCTTCTTCCCTGTCTTGAACTTGAATGTGATACTTTAAGTTGCAGCAGTAATGTCAGAACTATGAAGGCACAAACCAACATTTTTAAGGCAGAAAGACAGAAGGAGCCTGGGTTTTTATGATACTGGGGGACTGCTGCACTGTCCTTGTATTAACATTTCCTTTCTCCAGACTTTAAGATGATTGCTTTTGTGAATTAGAAAAAAACAGATCTAAAAATTTCTTGCCTTCCAGAGTATCAGAAGCTGAGTGAAGGCTTAAAAGTATTGGTAGGCATTCCAATGAAATTATAAATATACGAGCACAAATATATATTTGCTACATAAATATTATTTGATGATAAAATATTTTACTTTTTATCCCACCTGTATTTTTAAAAAGCAGTAGTATCTGGGCCCTTAGGAACATAAATAAGAAAGAAGCAAGACGCCTCAGTGTCCTCAGAATTTCTAGGACTACTGTTAAGGCAAAGAGAATGCCAGATTTCAAAATGGGGTTCTTTAACACCCAATCACTCAGACTAAAAGGCTACTTAATAACTTTATCTAGCCAGGCATGGTGGCACATGCCTGTAGTTCCAGCTACTTGGAAGGCTGAGGTGGAAGGATTGCCTGAGCCCAGCAGGTCGAGGATGCGGTGGCCATGAGTGTGCCACTGCACTCCAGCCTGGGTGACAGAGTGAGATTTCAACTCAAAAAACAAAACCCAATAAAAACAAAACAAAAAACTTTATCTTTACTCACTTTAACATATTGATGAGTATATATGCATTATTAGGTGTATATAGTAGGATATAAAATAATGTTTAATCAATGCCCATAGAACAATTTTAGAGCGAAGAGATCATCAGCCCCACTGAAAGTCACATTAAATGCTATATTCACTCTTAGGAGAAAAGAAACATAACCATCTATTTATTGGTAATGTTAGGAAACTATTTCCTTCTGGATAAATCAGGATTTATGTTTCAAGTGTGTATTAGAGAAGAAATGAATACGGGACATTGTGGTGGGAGAAAGTGCCCGAGTAATGTGTTGGAATCAGGCCACATAACTTTATTGCTTAAATTTTCGCCTTTATAGGCATAATTGCAGCTGAACAGTCATTAGGAACTGTGTGGTGGCTTATCTTCTCCAGCGGCATTACTCACCTTCAGGTCCCGATGGACTACGCCCATCTGATGGCAGTGTAGCACAGCCTCCAGGATCTGCTGAATGCAATGACTGCATGCAAACACCAGGGGGCGTGTGTTAGTTCCAAGCTTACACTCACTGTCTGTATACCCTCAGAGAGACTGGGTTCAAGTGCAGAGCTAGCAGACAACTGGGGTTGTACTGTACCACTGTCAGTCATGTGAACATATTGCTCAAGTAGAGTGACTACTACCTCAGAACAATCAAGATCTTGCCAGATGTGAGCCAGAATGTGGATCTACTGGTTCTAGAAAATTCCGTCTTGAAAGTATTTCCCTTCATTCAGGAGCTCATTTCCTGGTTATAAACTCTTCCAGGAAATGAACTGGAACACAAATATAATCTTTATGCTGTTATGTGCTACCTCCAATCTATGCACAAAAACTACTTTCCTATTCACTCTCGTTTTTCCAGTGTTGTTCTGAAAGCTGCCATATTAGCAGTCAAGGCACCATTAAGGTTAAATTAGGATACGTAATGAATTTTTGATAAATCATTAACTTCCCATGTTTTAATTTAGCTGGCAATTATTATCTCTTGCCTAAGGGTTCGTTAGACTCAAATGGAGCAATGCGTAACCAGTTGTTCTGCTACAGCAACCCGTGGTCTCAGAACAGAAGTGGTGTTTAAATCTACAGGCAGACATACATCACAGGCCAAGTATGTCTCCAGGCAAATGCTAGACAATTCAAGAAAGCCTGCCCCCAACCGCCTTCAGTAGGTTAGTGCTTGGAAACTTAATAGGTTGTGTTCTTAATGTGGTCCTTCTCTTTTTGTTGTGATGTATATGTAGCCTGTAGATAAGCAAACTGAAAGAGGCATCATGCATTATCATTTCACCATTTACTCATTTTAGAAAAAAGCTGAGAAAGGGAACCATTTTAAATATCCACCCTCTGCCCTTACCCCATAAAAAACAAAACAAAACTCCTTTGATTCAGATTTATGGACTCCATATACTGACCTTCAAGTCCCTGTGAACTATGCCATTTAGGTGACAATGATTTACACTTTCTAGAATCTGCTGTATACAATGACTGCAAAGATACAAGGGCAGAATGGAAGGGAGAACGTTTTAAAGGCACATAATCACATTGAATATGAAATAAAATGAAACTTCAAACGAAACAAAAAATTTATTTACTTTTTAGCTTTACACTTTAATAAATAATGCTGAATAAAGCTAATTCTGGTTCTAACAAAAATGACATCCAACACAGAATTTGTGACATGATCAGACAAAACAATTTGAGCTGTGTTTTTTTCACTGTAAGTCTATAAATTAAGTCATATGTACAAAGAAGTTGAAATTTCAAACATTTATAAAGAAAAAAATATATAAATGATTCCTGTAATGTTCTGGGAAAATTCTTCAGAGATATAAAATTTCCAGGAATTTCTTGTATACATCTAAACTGTTTAAAATCTGAGGTCACAATTAAACATAGGTGTTGAAACAACAGGGTAAACACAGATGAAGTGGCAGGTGAAACACAGGTCAAAAAAAAAAGGAAGGACACATTTACCATTTTGACTCAGAAGTGTTGCTTTTTGTAGAGTATATAATAGGAAAACTGATGCAAATCTCCAATAACAGAGGGAGAATTTAAAGTAAACCCATACATAAAATAAACCCCTCTTTAGCAAAATACTCTGGGGAAGGGGTAGGGAGCTTACAAAAAAATAAGTAAATGCAATTTTAAAGTCCCCTGGAGCATTGGTAGTTGCTAAAACCATTTCCATACATTTCAGTGAAAGAAAACTTTTGCTTATTATTATGTCAAAATGCACATTTAATGCTATTCCTATTAAAGGCTCACTGATGTCGAATATACTACTAATTAAATTAGAGAGCAGATATCTTTGATCGGCACCTACAAGGTCCCAAGAGCTGTCGTTCAACATACAATTATGTAAAATGTATCACACTGATGAATTTTGTACATTTCACTGTGCAGTTCAAATGTATGTACAGAACTACATTTACTCACTGAAAGACTAAGCAAACATTTTCATAAGGACACTTTTAACCATTTACTGTACAAAAAAATATTACTCTATAGGAATTCTTAAAAAGCAATCATCATCTGATTTATTACAATGTAAATATCAAAACGTTTGATCATGCCTGTGATTTTCTAGCTCTCACTCTCTTGACAATATCACTAAAAGAGCCTCATAATGAGTTGGACACTTTGGGAAGCCGATGAGAGAGGACTGCTTGAGCCCAGGAGTTTGAGACCAGCCTAGGCAACATAGCAAGACACTGCCTCTCCAAAAAAATATTTAAAAATTAGCTGGGTGTGGTGGTGCATGCCTATAGTCCCAGCTCCTCAGGAGGCTGAGCTGGAGGATCGCCTGAGCACAGATGGTCAAGGCTGCCATGAGCTGTGATTTTGCAATTGCGCTTCAGCCTGGGTGAGAGAATGAGAACTCAACCACAGACTAAAAAAAAAAGGGCCTCATATGACTACATAGCTTATCTGAGTGTTTGCCATCATTTTTAAACCACAGGACTCTTCCTTCTACAATAATGTTCACTTTGTATTACTTTTTAGAAATATTTGTCTTATTCTTCTGAAACCACAAATATACGTTTTTGGGCCTAGGGAATAACAGAAAATACACTATATATTAATAAGGATAATGGATTCAATTCTTAAATTCTTGAGGACTAGTAAGAAAGACTTTGGCTGGGCACAGAGGCTCAAGCCTGTAATCCCAGCACTTTGGGAGACCGAAGTGAGAGGAGAGCCTGAGCCCACGGATTCGAGACCAGTCTAGGCAACTTGGCGAGAACTTATCTCTACAATAAATGAAAAAATTAGCCGGGCATGGTAGTGCCTGCCTGTAGTCCTGGTTACTTGGAAGGCTGAGGTGGAAAGATCACTGGAGCCCAAAAGGTCAAAACTGGGGTGATCATGAGCTTGCCATTGCACTCCAGCCTGGGTAATGGAGTGAGAGACTCCAATTCAAAAAAAAAGAAAGACTTTAACAAATCTTTTTATGCTTGCAGCAAGGAAGAGAATCTTTCTTCTCTTTGTTTTTCTGTGGGACTTATCCTAAAAAAATTCTGTCATTAATTCTTAAACTTAATATATAAGCATGCAAATTTAAATGATCCAACCCAGAGAGTATATCCTATTATCTACAGAGCTCTTTAACGATGAAAATAGTCTATTTTAATTTCCCCCCAATTTTGAAAGGCAAAATTAATGAAATTCCCTAACTTGTTAACTACCTTGATTAAAATTATTACTCTCTCTAGGCAAGTGGGCAAATTGCTACTTCCAGGGATGCTCTGAGGTCCCCTTTGGGAACCAAATGTAAGGATTCTGGGAACAATGATTCATTCATGGTAGTATAAGTGACACACTACTTTCTATTTGACTTTGGCCATACAAAATTCCATCAAAACATTAGAGAGTAGTCGTATACTGATAGATTCACAGAATACCATACATAGTAGCATTAAACCAAGAAGAAAAATTTGAAATTTAGAAGTGAGCAGGCATAAGCATGTATAATTTGGAGGGAATGGAAACCTCAATATCAGCTGGATATCTGTTGAATGTCAGACTATGGTGGGACTAGCAAGCTTTGGGAAGCTTTGAAATACTAGAGGATGGGGGCAGAGTTAATAACCGAATTTTCATAATATCTCATTTACATGGCTTATAAGGAGCTAATCATCCTTGATCAGATTTTTCAAAATAAATGACAGTTACAGAATATATATATATAAGAAATGCAAAGGAAAATTAATACCATGGAATCCGAGTAATGTCTAAGTCAGTGGCTAATGTTACTTTACTCCAAAAATGTTGCCTTTGGGTAGCCTAGGAAGTTTCAAATTAAAATAATTACTTTTCAAGTCAGGATTCCAAGGGTTTTAATGAAATTTCCAAAGAATTAGATAACTAATAATAGTGCTTTAGGAAGGCCACTGAGGCTTTTTTCAGTCTGTTTTTGTTTTCTGACTGGATACTTATTGTTCAGTAAAACTTACTGCGTTGATAGAAATGTTTTATATCTGGTCTGGTCAACTGGTAGTCACTGGCCACTTGTGGCTATTAAGCAGGTAGAATGTGGCTAGCCCAACTGAGAATCGAATTTTTAATTGTATTTCATTGTAATTAATAGAAATTGAAATAGCTGCACATGACTAGTGGCTATCCATGGGCAGCCTAAAATCTGTGTAGGAACTAGAAGACCTCAATCTTTGATCTCTGATCTTTGCTAAAAAATATATTGCTTTAGTATACGTCATTCCAATTAGGTGGATTTCTTTTTTGGTTTGTTTTTAATAAATATGTACTCTATAGATACTAGATAAAATTAAGTTTAGACCAGATTCATAGGGATTTTTCCCCTAAAAAACATTTTAGAGATCCTTCAAAGAGAGAACTATCAATTTAAAAGAACTCATCATGAGAAGAAATCCAAGATGGTATTATGTCATGATACATTTGTAAAGAAATATATCCAGGCAACCCCCTGGATCCACTCCTGTTCTGGGAACTTTTCTGTCCTCTTAATAAATTCTGCTTTCTCAAAAAAGAAAAAAAGAAAAGAAAAGAAAAAAAAGAAAAATATCCAACATGTGTTATTTGAATGGTGAGTCTTGTATCTTGTCCAGGACAAGTCACTTACCTGGCATCAGCTTCACTATAATATTCTCTTGCCACTATGTCTTCAAACAGTTCACCTCCAGTAACTCTGTGAAGACACACAACATAATCACATTCAAAAGACGAAAAACGTAGGTGTTAATAGGTTTGCAACTGTATTCATACAGAAATTTTTTTTAGATTATTTTTAAAATTATCAAAACAAAGTATTTTAAAACATCATGAGACTTTTTGTTAAGTCAAATGTCCATCACTCTAAACATTTTCCATCTTTTCAATTTGTCTTTGTATCAGTAGATCCTGAGGTCACAATCCTCTGTGTATAATGAATATATTCAGCGATACTGTTTAAAGAAATTGGCTTTTATAAAAGTTTTTACTTCAGTTCACCAAATATTGATATCAGACAAAATTCAGAGGACAGTGTAGAAACTTCTTCTGAACAAAAGTAGATGGCACACATCATGGCTGTTGAGTATGAGTCTGCAGGCTGCATCTCTCTGTGTGTCTTTTCAATTTTTATGTGTGTGTATCCTTAAACGTATGTTTTCCCCTTGCAAACACATACATAAAAATACATGCTTTTCTCACAAAAGTGGGATCATACACAATATGTAAATAATTAAGCTAATTGCCTTTTTCAGTTTAAATTAAATCATGGACACCATTTCACATCAGAACCATTTTTCCCTATTTAACATAACATAGTAATGAATAGTGATATACATGTGTGTATGTGCATGTGCACACAAGTGTATTTGCATATTTGAGGGTGTTTCTACAAGATAAAATTTTTGAATGAAAAAAAAATCCACAGTTAAAAACTTTGTTAGGAAGACAGGGCAAATTGCCTTCCAGAATGATTGTACCCCTAACATTGTCAAGGTGCCCACAGGTCCAAGTCATTACTAATAATAGTTATTATCAATAAAGAAAAATATCTAATTGCAAAGAAAAGTCATCTTATGTTAAATTTCTTGAATATTAGTGAGGTGGACAATTTCCTCATATATTTTTCAAACATTTCTTCTTCTGTTATGACCTGACTTCATTTTAAAAGGAAATTTCATCTTTGGGGCTTAACCTTATAAGAGCTAACATTTACTGAGTGCTTACAATGTGCTGCACAATGTACTAAGCACTATAGTAACTCATAAATCCTCACAATTACCCTCTAAGGTAGGTTTATCATTAGCCCAGTTTATTGATGAGCAAACGGAGGCCCAGAGAAGTTAGGTAACTTGCCCAAGATCACACAGGCTTTGTGGACAGGTAGGCCATTCACTTTACAGCCCGTGCTCTCCACCACTCCACCGTGCAGTTTTTCTAATAATTACACTGCCAACCCTTCTAGTTTAGAAGGTATGAGTCATTGGGAAAAGTATTAAGTGACACAGGCATAAAGCTCTGTGTATGAACACTATAGCATGAGACAAAATGACTCTAATGTGATTTTTCTTTTTGTTCACTTGTTTGCTTTAAGTTCTGAAACATCATCAAATGGCAGCATGTCCCAGAGAACACCAGTTACTAGTCTCGTTTCGACTCTCTCTTCTTAAAAAGAAAATATGGGATATAAAAAAAAAAAAGAAAATTTGTCTGAATATTTGTGCAACTTCTCTCAATTATATTCTGGAAACTTAAAAGTCCTTTAATGTCAGTCATTATTTCCAGTCCTATTATTTTTACATAGAAAATGTGTACCTAAATCATATAAGGCTTCACATAGGCTTGTTCTAAAAAAACATAGGCACGTGTCCATGTAATTTCATTTAATAGCATAGCTGTTTTTTCCAATTAGAGTCTATAATAATAATGTAATTACACAATGGTCTTAGATCTAAGTTGCAAAAATAACAAAAGAGAGAAAAAGTACTTTCAATGAACCCATCGTTGTCCCTATAATGATGGTAAGGGTTTTATGAGATTTCTTTCTTTGAATGTGATTAATGTAAAAATATAAATTGACATATATTCATATTTATCTTTGTTTTGGACCATAAGTACCTAGAAAACCTGCATATATTATAAACAGTTTTAGATAGTTAAAGTGTTGAATAAATATTGATCAAAGTCCATTGTTATTAATAAGATCGCTGCTGTTTACAATAGCTTCTTAAACATATTGTTTGCTCCCTGAGAACTGTCAAATCCTGGATCACCGGGACCTCGACTTATTTCATTTACTTTAAGTCTGAACTTTACGGGAACTTAAAAAGAAAAACAATCATGCGCACACCAGAGTTTTGCTACAGTGCAATAGGTTTTATTTCCGAAGGGTTTGTATTTAAAGGAGAATATTAGAGTCAGTGGAACTAGCATGACGGTAGTTTTCAATTAGTTATAATGGCTTTAAATAAACCTAAGGGTGTAGAGTTTTACGTTGAGTTTCATATTACATAGTTAACCATCACTGACAACATTCTCTCTCATTTTCCGGCATCCATTCATCCCATTATTTAAAAAATCCTTATGCAAATGATACCATTTTATCATTTTTGCTATATGTATGATAAATGTCTGAAAAGGAAAAGATTAAAGCTATAATTGAATTTGCTGCTTTAAAGAGAAGCTAATGAATTTTCTAACTTTAACATATTTCTATACTTACATTATTGTTTAATGGAGCACAAGATTAAGCAGTAGTTATTGAATATTTTTGAAAATTTTTGGTATGCTATATGAAATTTCATATAATGCCACAAACTAAATCATTCTCATGAATAAAACTGTTAGATTAAATAACTAATTAAAGATTTTGTGAATAAATTGCTGTCAGAGTTCTGCTACATGAAATATATCAATTACAGACTTGAAGCATTAATTACCACTTATGAATCTCAAGAACCTTAGGGCTTACAGAATACAAGAACTATGAAAAGATAAAACTCCACATATCAGAAAGATACATATTTTTGTGTTGTTGCTATTGTTATTTATAGTGATGTTGATTCACACTGTATTACCCTGCATAATGAATTGTTCTTTTGTTTCTAGTTCATGTGTTTGTGACATAACAGAAATGGTCAAAAGTAGTTTCACGTTTATTCAAGTTTATTTATCTTGAATAAAACATTTATAAAATGTCATGAGTAATACAGCTTTGACAATGAGGCTTAGCAGCTGGTAAAGTCTAAGACTGGACTTTTAAAAATAAAATGGTGCTGTGGTTACCCAAGAAATAGCACCAACTTGTAGATTAGAACCAGTGCCCAAAGGGCTGGAGAGAGCCAGCAACCTCAGGTGGGAGCTGAGTTGCAAAACAGGAACCAACCATAGGGCCCAGCTAGTGAGGAGGAAATCTTGCCAGGGAAGGACTGAGAATATCTCCTGGGAAAAGAAGAAATCCTCCTGGAAGATATGTGTAAAGCTGGGAGGGAAAAAATCCAGTGAGCTGGGACCACCAGGCCTGAAATCCAAGGCTCTGACTAGATGTATCAGGGGCTCATTAAGCAGTTAAACAAAGAATCACCACAATCAGATATTTGTCAAAAAAGATATCTTACACTGCCTTGCATTTGGGTGACTGGTATGTCTTTGTCTAATGAGGAAGACAGAAGTTGTAAGGATGACACATCTATGTCACCTGCATGGTACTCAGCACACAGCCTTTCATTTGTTGAACCATAAAAATAACAGCAAATAGTCACTGAATGCTTACCATGTATACAATGAACTGAGTATTTGTGCCCCTCTCCCCAAACACATATGTTGGAATCCTAACCCCCAAAATGATGGTATTAGGAGGTGGTGGCCTCTGGGAGGTAATTAAGTCATGAGAGTGGAACCCTCATAAATGAAATTAGTGACCTTATCAAAGGAACCCAAGAGTTCTTTCCCCTCTTTCTCCATGTGGGGATAGATAAAATGAAAAGTCATCAGTCTGCAACCCAGAAGAGTGCCTCATCAGAACCAGGCCATGCTGCTACTCTGATCTTGGTCTTTCAACCTCCAGTACTGTGAAAAATAAATGCTTGTTGTTCAAGCCCCCTCAGGCTATGGTATTCTGTGATGCTACCTGAAGAGACAATATGCCACAGCCAAGAACATTTCTAAGTGCTCTAGAGACTATAACACAACAACCCTATGAAGTAAATACTAGTAGTGCTATTTCCATTTTACAGATAAGTAAACTGAAGTAATGGAGATTAAGGACTTTTCCCAAGAATACACAGTACAAAAAAGAAAAAGGGCTTGTTTTTTCTAGTCTGTGCTGCCCTAATAGCTTGCCTCTGGACACAATTTGAAAAGTAGGAGAAGAGTAAGTCAAGGGTCTAGATAGCCCAAAGGACCATGCAAAAAAACTAGGAAGAATATGGGCATAAAGAAATTCCCGCTTTTATGGTCTTTAATCATCTGATTGAAGTCAGACTTTTTGACTGCTCGTGAGGTTAGTAGTCATTGATAAGAGTGAAGTCATTGATAAGAGTGAAGTCATTGATAAGAGTGAAGTGGATCAGAGTTCATTCACAGGAGTGTTACTGGCTTTCTTGGCTGAACAATCCATCACTATGTGCATGGGGCAAGACTGTCAGCACCAGGCCCTATACTAGGTGTCATCTACAGAACCTTGTTAGTGTGGCAATTAGTGTGCCAATCCCATCATTCCTGTCACCTCAGTGGTTCCCTAAGGATCCATGAGAGAACCATTGAGCTAAGGGAACAAAGACTATGGGGATACAATGAAAACTGTAGGTCTCCTTAGCACCACACTCTAGGATGAAAAGTAAATCAAGCCAACCACTGGTGTAAGGGTCTGTCAGGCAGAGAATATGAATGATGGAATATTGTATCTTCAGCACTTCACACAGTGTCTAGCACACAGAAGGAGCTTAATAGATGTTTGCTAAGTGAATAAATGATTAAATAATTAAATGAGCAAAGGAAACTAGATGCATCAATTCACAATTTTTTGGTTTGACTATTTAAGCTTAAATCTGAGGTTGAAGAGGCCTAACCACTTTTCTTTTTTTTTAATCTTCTGATCTCGAATTGACAAACACCAGGTGGAAGACGTCAAACAAACGACTATTGCACAACATGTATCAGTGAACCTGCAATGCATGTTGGTGACTGTTTCTCATGTTA